TTTTTTTTTTTAATATATAAGTATGAATGACTCTCGAAAATTCATTTCTTGATTATCATTTAAATCTGCATTACATTGCATCTTGCAAAAATGGGTATGAAAAAATGGGTATTTGTGTCTAGTTCATGTGGTGGCGATACTGGTTTGTTTTATATGAGGGGTTCTACTGAAATTATGTTGTTTATTTTACTCTCTAATATGACATAGGATCGATTCAGAGAAATCGGTTACATGTGGAATGGACGACATTGATTGTTTTGTAGCTTAACTTCTTTCTAGTCAAATGGATTGCATTGTTTGTTTCTTGCAATGTGAATGTTGATAATTATGGTTCTCGATTGTATTGTAAACAGTACAGTAATGGCTGAGGTTGGTAAAGGCTATGTGATAGTCCCGGATTCACTTGTGAAGAAGCAGAAAAGGGCCGAGGACTGGGCCCTCACCAAGTCAAAAGAGGTTGGGGAGGCAAAGCAGAAGCAAGCTGAGACCAGAAAATTGATTTGCAAGAAAGCAAGAGAGTATGCAAAGGAATATGAGCAACAAGTTAACTTGAATTATCTTTGGCTCTGGAATCAAATTCGGTCATCTTTTGTATTTTGTTTTTTCCTTTAGTCTCGTATCTCATTTTTTTTTTTTTTTTCTTATGTGATTTTGTTGTCTAGGAGAAGGAGTTGATCCAATTGAAGCGTGAAGCTAGATTGAAAGGTGGCTTTTACGTGAACCCAGAAGCCAAGCTTCTGTTCATAATTAGGATCCGCGGGTAAGGTTTTACCTTGCTGCTCAATTTACGGCATATCTAGAAAAATGTGGGAGGAAAAAAAAAAGATTTACGTTTATGTTTATATGATTTCAGTATTAATGCTATGCACCCAAGAACCAAGAAAATTCTTCAGCTTCTGAGATTGAGACAGGTATTCAATGCAACTGTTCTTGAGTATCCTGTTTGATCTTAATTGTCTTCATCCAATCATTAAGAGCATCCACTATACTTTAGATTCAATCACAAAAAATTGTATGACACATAAGAAATAAACTTAGTCTACAAAAATGTATTCTCCAATGCAAACAAAAGTAAACTAGGTCTTGTTGATGTGGCAGCCAAAAAAGAGACCCGGTCTACCCTTAAGTCTATTTTAGACCCAAGTAGAGACCTAGTTTCTTTGCATTGGAGTAAGTTGTATTAATTTTACATACTTTTATCCATGTCATCCAAGACTTGAGTTTATTTACATGCCACAAAGGCAATACTAGACCCAATGCATTGTAGATGCTCTAAGAGTCCATCAGTGCTTGAAATGATTTACTTTGTTGTATCACTTGTCATTCCATGGTTTATCCTTCCTCTTATGTCGACACATGCAAATGCTGTCAGATTCCAGAATTACCTTTTGGTTGGTGCGTGTTACTTTCTAAGTGGAGCTTATTTTTCCATTTGGCATCATGTACATGCTGTTTTAAATTCAATTTTGTCGGTATGTACCTTTTTCTAACTTATAATCTAAACACTGTAGTTTGAGGCAGATAAAAATTATTTGAACTTGCATTTACAGTTCACAAAAACAGTAGAATATGTCCTTTGATATATCGTTTGTGCAATGAGATTACGCATTGGTGCTTCTTTGAGTTTCTTAGACTCCTTTTGCTCTAGGAAGAAAAAATCCATACTAAAGTCTTCTGTTATATTAACTGTGTTTCTATTTGGCACTTGTACTGATCTTCAATGGCGTCTTCTTGAAAGTAAACAAGGCCACCGTGAACATGCTTCACAGGGTTGAGCCTTACGTTACTTACGGGTATGATAACCGCTGCCAGATGCAAGAAGTTTTAGTTTGATTTAATAAACAATCTGAAAATGTTCAACTCCATGAACTTTCAGATACCCCAACCTTAAGAGCGTGAAGGAGTTGATTTACAAGCGTGGATATGGAAAAGTGAACAAGCAGAGATTTGCTTTGACTGATAATTCCATCATCGAGCAGGTTATATATGTGTTCTCATTCAAGATAAAGTAGAAAATATTCTCCTTTTATATCATGTTTTCTCATTTCTGTTCTGCTTCTGCAATTTTTACATTTAGACGTTGGGTAAGCATGGAATAATCTGCATGGAGGATTTGATTCACGAGATCATGACTGTGGGTCCCCACTTCAAGGAGGCGAACAACTTCTTGTGGCCATTCCAACTGAAGGCGCCGTTGGGTGGATTGAAGAAGAAGATAAACCATTATGTCGAGGGTGGTGATGCTGGTAATCGTGAGGATTACATTAACGAGCTCATCAGGAGATGAACTAAGTTTTTTGTGACCATCGGTTTTTTCCTAATCTCTGTTGTTGGAATTTAAGATTTTTGAGAATCGATTCAATTAGAAAGCAAGTTTTACTTCGTAAATTTTTGTAGCCCTGCTCTTTCGAGACATGGCCTCAAGACTTGGATCCACTATGTTTTTGTGGGATACCTATGGAGATTTCTTTTTCTGGAAGCCTTTGTTTGTTTTCATAATCTTCCGCTTTTGTGTTTGATTTTGAATGATGGCGATTCATTATTTGATTAAACAAAATTTGTTTAGAGGACAAATGAAATTGTTCATTTATCTACGCAAATTTGATTAAACAATATAGTGGATGATTCTATATTGATTAAGCATATTGTGTTTAAATGGCAAATAAAAGTGATGTTGGAAGAGTTACTTAGGATTGATACTCAGATAAGATAATATTAAACGCCGTATAATGTTGGTTTCACTTGATCAGTGTACTTAAAATCGGTCTAGATGCCAAGCGTCGGCCAGGTGCCTTTGATTTGTATGAATTTGCCTTGAAAAATTGGTCAGGCGGTTCCGCGACACACCTTCGATTTGTATGAATTGGCCATGAAAAATCAGCCAGGCGGTTCCGCGACACACCTTTGATTTGTATGAATTGGCCATGAAAAATCGGCCAGGCGGTGCAGGCTCAACGGGCGTGGCAGCTATGCGGCGCTAAGCACGCCTTTGATTTGTATGAATTGGCCTTGAAAAATCGGCCAGGCGGTTCCGTGACACCTAGGTAGGCCTAAGCGGGCTCAACGGGCGTGGCAGCTAGGCGGCGCTAAACAAGTCTCGACGAAAATATTCCATTTTTTTTTTCTAATACTAAATCCGTTAATATATTAATTTATTAGTTGGATTTGTTTTAAGTTGGGATAGTTTCATTTGTTTAGGTAGTGAAGATAAATAAATACAAAAAAATAATTTAGACCCCGCCTAGTCGCTCTAGGTGTTAAGTGTTGGTCGGGTGCTTAACGGCGCCCAACGAGTTTATTATTTATTTATTTATTATTATTACTTTTTTTGTATAAGAGAACACACCCTAGTATATAATTTATATTCTCCAATTGAACTCTTCTCCAATATAATTTGTATTTTAACATTTCTTAGAGATCAACTATATATAGAGAATTTCAACATTACTTGGTTCATATTCATGGCTACATTTATTGGGCATTGCTTATCCACGGAATATTATTGTCTAACGGCCTTTAGGCGTTTTGCCTCCTTCTTTGTACCAAAAAAAAAAAAAGAAAATATATCAAAATACGAATACTAATGCAAAAAGAATTTTTATTGTAATCCAATAACAAAGTACGAGTGCCCTTATTACAATCAACCCTAAATTTATTCCACCATTATAATTAAAACCCCAACTTCAAAATATAACTGCAAAAGATTTGATCATCCATGATAGTGTTGGCCCGGTTGCCAATTTGCCGGAATCACATTATTCGCAATGTATGTTACTTTGGACTCGATTGTTGTTACTTTCACGGAAAACGGACCACCTATACCATTAGATAGGTTAACTTTCCATGTCACGCCCCAAACGCGTTGCATGTTGAGCCATCCTTTCGAACTTGGAGAAGATATTTGTACTGCACCAATGTCACCGTCTCCATTAACATCCTCTATTGCGAACGACATATAATTTGGAGTAGAGCCCTTATCGATCTTAAACGTTATCGGTGTACTATAAGAGCACCTAATCCTGCGTAAATCAAATATATAATTATTAAATTACTTTAATTTTACACAACTACTTATAAAAATCTTTAGATAGTCGAGAAAAGCCAAAACACAAAAAAATAATAATAATAATAATAAATAAATAAAAAAATGAAATAAATTAAACACCTATTTTCTTGAAATGTTGAATGTGATAAAGATACGTATGACATTCATAAAGTATGACTGGTCGACCCGATTAGCTATCAGTTAGGCTGAATTTTTTAAAACCAAAACACAAGTTACCTTTGATATTGGATATTTATTTTTCCCAATGACCGTAATTTATCATCTTGGCCAGGTTTGGCTAAGGCTCCAATGGCTTTACCGCTCAAGTCGAAGTGAACAGGGGCACCATTGCAGCCCGGACACTCGTCTGTAATTGTTACACTTACAGGATTCCCTGAGCATGCAGGGTCCCCTGTGCATTTTACCTTCAAAGTTCAAACAAACAAACATACTCTTGTTAAGTTCACTTTACCATCACCTTGTCCTAAGCAAATAATTAATTTCAACTAGTGTTCGATCTTGTGCACCTGCCTGCACAGATGTGTATAAAATATTACCTGATAACAACTTCCACAACCTGCTCCGGATTTGAATAAAAAGTTGTTTCCAGCAGATATCATGCCATTGTAAGGAGGCCCAGCCACATCATCTGCAAAACCACAAGCTCCACCTGCAAAACACACCGAGGTTCGACTGAATATTATGGATTAATATTTTAATGAATTCAGTCTAAAATAGTATGAAAAATTTATGATAAAAATTAATATAAAAAAATGGATAGTAAATTAATAATTATCCCGATGACACTCGTTAGTAATATGAGTAAATTGATTACAATTTATTAGCTATAGTAACTAAAAAATTAAAACTACTAAATTTTATATACATGACATATTAATTGGCAAAAAGACTATTATATATCTTCAAACCTAAACTAACTAATGCATAATTATTATTAAATAGTATTTTATCATTATTGTTATTTATATTAGTCATGTTAATTAAACCTTGATTCTCATCTTATGATAGAATATTGTGCACATATTTATCGAAAACTTTGGTTGTTTCTAGTCATTAATTAACCAAATAAATTGAATGAAATAATTTATAATATAATAGATAAAAAAAACTTTGTAAGAAACAGGGGAAACACGGGTGCTATGAGTACGTCATCGCATGGTCCCACATAGAACTGGCTCTGATACAAGAAACGGAGGAAAAAACGGGTGTCAGATAAAGCGCACCATAAGCAGAGAAAGTCTAGATGAAGTGCACCATAAGCAGATGTTTCAACCCAAAACCATTTGGTGGTAGGAGACGTAGCCCACTAGACTTATAAATTAAGTTTAATTTTGCTATATAAACGATGTGGGACAATTCACAATTGATTCTTCTAATAAACTTGTGTATTATTTTGCTTTAAATTTAACCAAGTTATATATTCATTTATAATATTTTATATCTGAAAAAAACCAGAGGTTATTTGGATTCCTCGGAAACCCCCGCCCACATCACCATTCAATATTTCTTGGCCCGTATATATATACATTTATAAATGTATTAATAATTACCAGTACTTCCTACTCCTCGTGGATCACCATACCATGTTGCTACTCCTTGTGAAAAGCCACTATAATCAGAAGAATTTACTAATTTAAAATTTATACAAAAACTAGTTGGATTAGTTATGAGGAACAATGTGAAAACCAGAGTCAAAATGTTGGAAATTAAATGAGGGAACATGGTGTGCACAAAGAAATAGTCTTAAAAAAAAATATGACTTTTGTTGTGGTGTACATAGATGCATTTGGACTAAACTATTTATACCAGTGAGGAATGATATACTTACCATATTAAAATAACAAAACAAATAATATTGTTACATGCATGACATAATTTGATGCCAAATTTGATTGTACTAAATTAAAATTATATTGAGTTAAAGTGATATGAAATTTTGAAATCTAACATAGTCAAAATTCTTGTGCTCGCAATTTGAGAAGGAACCAAAGTTAGATTATGATTTAGGGAAATGCTACAGTCCCGTTACGGAACTATTCCGTTGGGATTTGTAATCTTTTAGATCATCATGTAACCGTTAGGGATAGTTGATCTAACGGTTACAAACCCCGACGAAATAGTTCCGCTGTAGCATCTCCCTATGATTTATATGACAAACATATGGTGTGGCAAAAATAGTCTTTTAGTTCCTTAACTAGTCTTTTTTTTTTGGTCCCAGAAAGATCTATTTTTGGAAATGGTCCTCTAGGTGAAAAAAATATTTTTTTGGTCCGATAACCGCTGTAGCAGTAAGTCACCGCGACCGGCACGACTACAGTAATTTCAATTAATTTTTCCTTTCTTTTTGTTGCATGGCAATTAGGTGGCGGAATTATAAAAAAAATGATTAAAACCAAGATTTAAATTCTGGACCTCTTGCAATAAAATAGGAGCATTAGTCACTTGATCTACAACATTTTATATGAAATACTTGACATCGATTATATATCTATCAATATCAATTTATTAAAAAAAAATTAATAATAATAATAATAACTAAATTTATGTCACATTTAATTATAAAACTTATCATAAAATATTTATAAAATATGTAATAACTGCGAAGGTAAATTGTGTAAATTAAATAAATAAGTAATATTATATTATTTACCTAATTTAATAAAACATTGATATAGGATATTATACTGGACTCGGTTTAATGGATAAAGCGGATACGTATAGGAAGATAAGCCCACTACTACGTCCAAGCCCAACATTATGGGCCAAGCTCATATTGAGCCCACAAAGGTACACTCCCCCTATAAAAGGGGGGCCAAGGTACTTCATTCTATATTATCCTCTACTCATTACATTACTACACTTTATCTCTCTCTTGATCTGAGCACTGACTTAGGCATCGGAGGCCCGACGCCGGGGCCACCCGGCGTTGGGTTCTGCAGGTACGGAGGCCGGTTCGAGTTGAAGGAGCCCGGGTGAATCTTATTCACTTCATTGGCGCCGTCTGTGGGGACCCGTAAAAAAGTCATGCGGAGTTCCGACTAAAAAAATGGAAAAACCTCCTTCTTCTCCGCCGGCCGCCGCCACCGCCGGCCGCCACCTCCGCCGTCGGCCGCCGAAAAATGTGCTCCGATCGGTAAATCATTTACATCATTGGAAAGATCTCTTCAAGATGGATCTCCCCTTAAAATTTCATGCAAAAATTCATTCGGGAAGACCATCAATTTTGCGGTCAAAGTTTTCAGATCTAGTGAAATTTTGGTCAAAATCGGACATTCAAACGCATTTTTCCGACGATCCGGGAAGGCTATGGAAAATCCGAGGGTACCACCGGAATCCTCTCATCGAGATGAATCTCCAGCTACCGGTCTTCGCCGGAAACCTCCACCCGCGCCGCCGTCCGCCGC